TTGGTCAGTTGGCAAAAACCTCAGAGTCGGCAGCCCTGATCGGTCTCTATCATGGTCAAGTTGCATGCAAGAAGAACCGCTTTGGAACTCCTCAGAGAGAAGTGAAGTAAGTGTATATCACTTTCACATTCTGTGTGTGTGTGTGTGTGTGTGTGTGTGTGTCTGTGTGTGTGTCAGACCAGTTTGTAGAGTCATGGTCAGTGATACTGAAAAAAGTAATGTATTACGCATTACTTTTTTATTTTTTTTTTTTAATGTTATATCTAGGGCTGCACTATGTAGTAAAAACATCATATTGCAATTACTTGTACAGATATTGCGATTGCAATATGATTCATGATTAGTGTGGGAATGTAGGAGTCTGTACCAAGCAAACATGTTCTCTTAAATCTGGAGAACATGATTTGGCTTTGGATTTTGGCATCTCTTCAGAGCTACAGTACTCATTATAACGCTGTTATTTTACCTTTTCTATAAAATATCTGAAATTTGGATACTGCATGTGGCCATATGGCAATTTTGTAATGCACTACACACAACACTGGTCAGGATTAAATACCTGGTTGGTACTAACGACAAAGCCGGGTCTGATAGTCTCGTTGACACATTTACACTGATGGTTAATGGTCTGTACTTGTATAGCGCCTCTCTAGTCTTCCGACCACTCAAAGCACTTTGCCACATTCACCCTTTCACACGCATTCACACAGTGATGACAAAGGGCATCACAAACGGAAAATTCATACACATTCACACACCAATGCACATCATCTCTCATATTACAGTCTTAAATTAATTCTCCTATCATTTACTATCTTTATTTTTGTTTACCACTAGGACTCTTGCCATCTTGGGAGCAGGTCTGATGGGAGCAGGTATCGCCCAGGTCACTGTGGACAAAGGTGTGCACACAGTCCTGAAGGACACCACTCTGGCTGGACTGACCAGGGGAGAACAGCAGGTTTACAAAGGGTGGGTTATTATATCAGGAATTTAAATCTTAGTTGTTTTGGTCATGGAGTATGCTTAACTATTTAATTAGCATCCGTCGGTTGATACAGTTCCTGTCTAATGAAAGAATAACATTAAACTTTAAAATCAGCTATTAGAACCTGAAAGCTGGTGATTAATCATTTCACTCTTTATTTTTAATTAGGCTCAACGACAAAACCAAAAAGAAGAACATCACGTCATTTCAGAGAGACTCCATACTTTCCAACTTGACAGGCCAGTTGGATTACAGTGGCTTTGAAAATGCCGACATGGTTATTGAAGCTGTGTTTGAAGACATTAACATCAAGCATGCAGTCATTAAGGAGGTGGAGGCTGTAAGTGTGAAAAGAGTCTCAGTATGCATTTATTACAAAGAGAATGTACTTTCTTTGTTGTAAATATCAGTCCATGGTTTTTACATTGGTTGGACTAAATCCAGGACAATACTGTTGTGACTTTGAGCGACGATCTAACAAACATTTGTCTGCAGGTGGTTTCCCCTCACTGCATATTTGCCAGCAACACATCTGCTCTGCCCATCAAGGATATTGCTGCTGCCAGCAAGAGACCAGACAAGGTTTGTACTTGGGTGCCTTGCAGTTTAAAAGTGCTTCTAAAGAAAATGTGGCTGAATATTTCCTCTGTATCCTCAGGTGATTGGAATGCACTACTTCTCTCCAGTGGACAAGATGCAGCTCCTTGAGATTATAACCACTGAACAGACGTCAAAGGACACTACAGCCTCTGCTGTGGCAGTCGGCCTGAAGCAGGGCAAAGTCATCATAGTCGTTGGGGTGAGCGTCATGTTTGTTTCCTCTTTCCCTGTGTAGTTACTGACCATTGAGTGTTTATTTTTCTTTCACTGTGTGTATACGTTTGCTACTTGTACATTTTTATTTGTGTGTAGCTGTGTGAGCCACAACAAAGAGTTTTTTTTTTTTTATTATTCTGATGATGATGGATGTTAATAATTGGAACGTTATTCCTCTTCAGTGAAATATTACACACATTTCTTTGCAGGATGGACCTGGATTCTATACAACAAGGTGTCTGGCTCCCATGTTGGCTGAAGCAGTACGAGTACTTCAGGTTAGCAGTATTACTTCAGTAGAAAACGCAGCTATGAACTCATACAGTATTCATATACTGTAGTGGTCGGTGGAGGATTTAGGACCTAAAATGGACAACTCACTTGAACAAAGCCTATTCATTATTCCAGCAGAGCTGTTGTAAGTATTATTAATTTATCCATTTGGACTTACAGGAAGGAACTGACCCCAAGAAGTTAGATGCACTCACCACAGGCTTTGGGTTCCCTGTGGGTGCAGCCACACTGGCTGATGAAGTTGGAATTGACGTCGCCGCTCACGTCGCAGAGGACCTTGGCAAGGCTTTCGGCTCCCGCTTTGGTGGAGGAAATGTGGAGGTCCTGAAGACCATGGTGGACCTGGGATTCAAGGGTACCTATTGACCGAGACCGACATTGTGTCCAGCTTTAATTTATGCCTATGTTTTATTAAAATGTATTGATCCTTTTTTTAATTATTATTATTCTTCTCCAGGCCGCAAATCAGGAAAGGGTTGCTACGTCTACCAGCCAGGGCTTAAGGTTAAAGAGGTCAACCCAGATATTGGCGAAATCCTTGAGAAATACAAGATGACACCAAATCCTGCCGTGTAAGTCGATGTCGGGCAATTGCAAAAGTAGCAAACTCTATGCATCTTGTCTTTTCTAAATTACTACATTACATGCTGTTGATATGGACAAATTGTGCTATTTATTACTTGCTGGACTGGAATTCATTTTCTTTAATTGTAGACAAAAAAAACCTTTGGAGTCTTGATATTACATGAGATTTTACTAATATTCATTTGTTTAGCTAGTGAAATACTCTGTTCTCACGTATGAATCTTTTTGCAGCTCATCAGACTCCGATGTGCAGTACAGACTAGTTTCCCGATTCGTCAATGAGGCTGTGCTGTGTTTGCAAGAGGGCATTTTGAACGGTCCTTTGGAAGGAGACATCGGTGCTGTGTTTGGCCTGGGATTCCCCCCCTGCCTTGGAGGTCAGAGTTCAACCGTAGTCATCGTCATCTGAGCCGCTTGTGCTTGGAGGCTGTATCAATGAAAAGAGCAAAATCGCCCTGAATTGGGTCTTTTTGGTCTATGTTTCACATGAGGAATTGTAGTAACACAGAATTTTAAGATGAAAATGAACAAAACCATTGCATTTAAGAAAGCCAAAAAGACGTTTTTACACAAGTAGAGATGATTCTTGCAGTGCTTTGCTTGTAATTGTATGATTGTGGGTTAAAGTCCTGTGTGCAAAATGTAAATTTTCTTTGCATCATATGTGGTAAAAAATTAACTTGTAAAATGTAACATGACATCTAAATAACTACCAGTAAGTGCCCCGTATGACATCAGACAGATCATTTATATTTTAGCATTTAGATTTATAAAATTTATAAATAATTCTAATTATCTAAAAAGTAAAGTTGACCAATATCAATTGGATTATATTACTTGGTTTGTACATATGTCATAAGAGCCTCCATAGGGTGAAAAAACTGAACAAATTAAGTTTTAATTATTACTTATTAGCTTTTTTGTAGTGCATAAAATACATACCTTGACTGAAATACTGTGAAGATACTTTAGACTGAAAAAAGGAGCTCAATAAGTGCAACTTATATGTCAACAGTGTGTTGAAGTTGACATATAAATGTTCACAGAGCAGCAGTAAATGCTGTTTCAGTCTACCAGATTGATCGTACACCAGTTAATCCTGAGGTGAAGCTTAGCCTGAAAACTAAACTGACAGGAACCAGGCTAGTCTGGAAGAATGCGTTTCCATGGTAACTTATTGAAAGTAAACCTAACTTACTGAAACAAACCTGGTTTAACTTGTAATCTGGCTTTATGAAACACCCCTCTGGTGTTTACAGAATAGCTCTTCATAAAGGAATAAAAACAAGTGCAACAAGAACAATATCCATATTATCCATTTAACACCTATCCCTGTGATAATATTTCTAACATAATATTTTGCTGCTTTCAGGACCTTTCCGTTTCGTGGACACCATCGGTGCAGACAAGCTGGTGGAGAAGATGAGGCGGTTTGAAGCCGTCTACGGGAATCAGTTCACACCATGCCAGCTCCTACTGGATCATGCAAAGGATTCTAGCAAGAAATTTCACAAGTGACCGACCCACCATGTGTGCCAGTAGCCTATAATAGAACTCCAGCCTGCCGCAAGAATGTGCACCTAATTATTCAAATATTTCTATTGACTTTCACATATGTTATACAATCACAATAGTACTCGAAAATAAGAAACAAATTATTGCAAGGCATCACAAACCATAAGGGAAATACCTCTTCCATACAGTAAATTGGTACGTAAATAATAAATAAATAAAAGAAAAATAGAAACGTTGAATAACTAGGTGCACCTAATAAACTGGCAACTGAGTGCGTGAGGTCAGCAGAAATGGATGTTTTTTTTTTTGTACTTTAACATTATTGATTTACTTCATAATGTATAGATTGAAGGGTAGATGGAGGCTAATTATTCACTCATTGCGGATGTAAAGATACTATAGAGACAGAACAATTTAAGTATTTTCCAGCTGGCAAATGAATTCTTCATTACTGATGAATGTCTACCACTGTGTCTTTTCTTTTTTTCTTTTGTACATTAAAGACTGTGGGGCCTGGTTTGAGCAATGGTGTAAATGGTGTGAAGTCTGAATAAAATTTTGTTATTGAATCAAAACCTTATTTTTTGTTTTCCTCCCTCAAGGTGCGTTAAAGTACCAGCTGGAAGGTAATTTATCACTCTTACAGATTTAGACCATAGCCGTGTGCCATGAGAAGATTTGGTCCAATCCAGTTCGTTGCGCAGGTCACATGTCTGATTTCCATTGTCCGCAGAGCAGGGTGTGTACCGCGGGGTGGCTGTGTGGGCTGGGCTGGGCTGGCTCTGTGATTTTTTTTTTCCCAGCAGCATCCTTTAATATCTCGTGACATCGCTTCCTTTTCTGAAAGATGCTCAGGGCGGAGGAGACGCTGCGTTCACTGGGATGATGGAAGCTGCGCACATGAGGTGTGTCTGTCTTGTCTGACCGCTTTTTCACCATACAGAAGCTGCTGCACCTGCACGGAGAAAGGGGAAAAAACTGCGTACCCCGCCCGAGATAATGGCTTTTTTTTAATCTTTTACCAAAAAAATGTCCAAAACCAAACATTGCGAGGCGATCAGGGTGGTGGTCCGCTGCCGGCCATTCAGCAGGAGAGAGGAGACAGCGGGGTGTAAAAACATTTTGGGGATTGATGACAAACTGGGGCAGATCACCATCAGGAACCCGAAGGCACCACCTGATGATCCAATGAAAGTATTCACGTTTGATTCTGTGTATGGCTGGGATTCAAAACAGAGCGACATTTATGACGATGCAGTCAGACCTCTGGTGCAGTCGGTGCTCCAGGGCTTCAACGGGACCATATTTGCCTACGGCCAAACTGGGACAGGTAAAACACACACCATGGAAGGGGTTACAAACGACCCAGACATGAGAGGGATTATACCAAATTCATTTCAGCACATTTTTACACAAATATCCAGGACTCAGAATCAGAAATACTTGGTGAGGTCATCGTACCTCGAGATCTACCAGGAGGAAATCAGAGATCTGCTGTGCAAAGACAACAACAGGAAACTGGAGCTTAAAGAGAGTCCCGACTTTGGCATCTATGTGAAAGACCTGTCATCTGTGGTCACAAAGAACGCCAATGAGATTGAACATGTGATGAACATAGGAAACCAATCCAGGTCTGTGGGCTTCACCAACATGAATGAACGCAGCTCTCGGTCTCATGCCATTTTTCTCATAACTGTGGAGTGTAGTGAAGTAGGGCCAGATGGCGAGGACCACATCCGTGTTGGGAAGCTGAACATGGTTGACCTGGCTGGCAGCGAGCGCCAGAGCAAGACAGGTGCTAAAGGGAAGCGACTGAAGGAGGCAGCCAAGATCAACCTGTCCCTCTCGGCACTGGGGAATGTAATTTCAGCTCTGGTGGACGGGAAGAGCACCCACATCCCGTACAGGGACTCCAAACTGACCCGCCTGCTCCAGGACTCGCTGGGTGGCAATGCAAAGACTGTCATGATTGCAACGGTGGGGCCATCGCACAAGAACTTTGACGAATCCCTGGCCACGCTGAGGTACGCCAACAGGGCCAAGAACATAAAGAACAAACCTCGGATTAATGAGGATCCCAAAGATGCCCTGCTGAGGGAGTTTCAGCAGGAGATTGCACGCTTGAAAGCGCAGCTGGAGGAGCGAGGGATGCTCGCAAAGGAGAGGAGGAGGATGAGAAGGAACAGCAAAAGACTCAGTAAAAGTATGGTCGGCATGGAAGAGGAGATGTTCAGAGAGAAGGATGTGGATATGTGGAAGGCTTTCGAGGAGGAACAAGAGGTGAAACATTACATGAAAGAGGGAATTGAGATCCCCAAGATTCTGACCTGCCAGGGAGGCAGTGAGAAGTTAAAGCACCTGAGTGAAAACAGAAAAAGCGTAGAGGACATGCAGTGGGATCAAGATGCTTTGGAGAAGATCATTGAGAAATACAAGGTACTTGTTAAGATTCAACGTGCCTTGTTATTATAGAGTACAGTGTCTGGTAAATGAGACACAAAAGAAATTTACATAAATAATTAATTGTATGTCTTTGTTCGCAGGCTATGGAGAGCAAACTGTTGGTTGGAGGCAAGACTATAATTGATCACACCAATGAACAGCAGAAAATGCTGGAGCTGAAGAGGCAGGAAATTGCAGAACAGGTATGTTAAAATAACAATTAAATTCATGCTTTTTTATTATTTTTTCCCAGCATTACTCCTTATAAAGCATACTTTTGTGTTACTTTACCATCCGTGGTAACAGAAGTATAAGTGTGGGTTGTCTGAACTTAGACACATTTTGAAACCCATTATTTTTAAGGGTGTACTGTTTGTATTCATCTTTAATGGAGCTTAATGTTCGGTGTGGTTGGCAGATAAGGAGGGAGAGAGAGATCCAGCAGCAGATGATGTTGCAGGATGAGGAGACCTTAGAGATGAGGGACACCTTCTCCTCCCTGCAGCAGGAGGTGGAACTTAAGACAAAGAAGCTGAAGAGGGTAAGATGACTCACCTGCTCACGTGTCCCGTTATGCCACTATCACGAAAGCAATCATAATTAAATCTCATTTGCGATTAATAATTAATTTTTTCAAGAGTGACGTCACTAGGGGAGGTAACACTGATGAGTCTGGGTTTTTTTTGTCTGGACAGATCTCTTACTTCCTGGTGTTTAGGGATAATTAAGTTTCTCTGTTTTGTTTGGTTAGCAAATTGGGCAAATTAAAGGCTTTTCCTTGGTGCGTACTTTATACAAACACCTTGTCAGTACAGCTGTAGTGACACCTGTAATTGATATGTTCCTGCTCTGTTCAGCTGTATTCCAAACTACAGTTGGTGAAGGCAGAGATGAGAGATGTCATTTCTGAACACGTCACAACCAGACAGGAGCTTGAACAGACACAGAATGAACTCACCAGAGAGCTCAAGTACAAGTGAGTAGCCGTGTTAGTGAATGTGAACATACTGTATACAGTTTGTGTGCAATGTCTTTCTTTGCTCACGTCCACCATGGCTTTCCATCAGTGCCACGCATAAAACACGTTTGTTGTTGTCTGTTTAGAATGAAAAGTTAACTAAATACATTGTTTTGTCATGGCAGGACTCAGATTTCAAACATTTATGCAATTAATTTCTGTTATATATTGAGAATTTTCTAATTGATGAAATGCAGTAAAAGCTGTGTTGTGTATTTCCATAAATGTTTATAATACATTTGAAACTGATTGGAGATATTCATTTAGATGACAGGACACTCTTGTGTTATTGTGAAACATGGCACTATTCTCATTGTGCCAATCAAATATAAATGTTTAAATAATTCTACTTTATGTTAGGATTAAAAATTAGCAAACATCACACTTTACAAGCCTTTGAGACTTAAGACTGCGTATCTATATATTGTCAAGAGATAAATCAATGAGAGCATTTTGTTCTTCATTAGATGTTTTTCCAGATCAATCTGGATATTAGAGAGGGGTCAGGATGTAAACTGGGCAGTGAAGACGGGCTTTTTGCTGCTTTGTAAGCAGTTTGTTTAGTGGCAAAGGGATGACATTGTCAAAATATCTGTGCTGGTACTGAAATATTGCAGTACCTTTATTTCTGTATAATAATATCAAAAAGGCAAAAAGTTTAATAATTTGATTGTATGTGAAATGCTTCCTGCTGACACATATTTGTATTTCATATTTCAGATATCTCTTGATTGAGAATTTTATACCTCCAGAGGAAAAGAATAAGATCGTGAACAGGCTGCACTTTGACAGTGAGGAGGATCAATGGAGACTGCAACCGGTCCTTCCAGAGAGGTCAGTGGATTCATTTCATTGCTGGCAAAAGCTACCGTAAATGGTACATTAGAGAAAGAAAAACCCTCCAAAACAAATTGTAAAATAGTAACAGTCAGTAAACAGATATACTACTGGGTGAAATCCGTCACCAAAGCAGCAGACATGCCAGTTTCTGCATTACCTAATTAGACCATAATGCAATGCAGCAGTAAGGTATATATTGTGTACATTTTTAACTAAGATGACAAGTTTAAAGCTGGCAAATCATTAACTCTTCCACTCCTATTTTGGTTCTTTTGACCTCTATATATTACACCTGAACGAACTTGCACATTCCTTCTCTAAGGGCAGTCAGCATTCTGGCAAAGGAAATCAGTAACAGAAGTATAACTGTATTAGGTAGGCTACTACTACTACAGTATTTTAAACACAAATTACCTTCAGTAAAAGTTACAGGTTGATGATACAGTTTACTTTTGTATAATTGTGATGATAGCGTGTTTAAAATTGTTCTAATGGCCTAAATGTTTGCCTTAGTCAACCCCTAGTGTCTATTATGGTACAACCACTAGGAGTCACCAAAGTCAAAACTACACAGGACTGTAAAGCAATCTGACCTGATATGATATAGATAATTTATGCATTCTTCCTTTCCAAGAAACAGATATCTTTATATAAAGGATAACCAGGAACCATTGGTATTTGTCTTCACTGAGACAGTTTGGAAAGCTGAGTGGAAGATGGCACAGGGGAGATAACAGGGCAGATTTGTCTGGTGGGGGCCGATCAGATGACCATACATGGGGCACTTGAGGTTCCAGAAGCTTGCGTCTTAACCGCTAAACCGAGTGTATTAAACTGAATCTAAATCCTTCTTTTCCCATGTCTTTAACCCAGTGCACCCACTCAGGTCAAGAGAAGGCCTCTCTCAGCCGTGGGATACAAGAGGCCAATCAGCCAATATGCACAGATGGCTGTTGCCACGGCAACTGGGGCCCCGTGTAGATACCAGGTCAGTGGTCGGACACTCACGGGAACAGTTGGCCAGAAGTACAGCTCAGGAATAGGTGTCAAAGAGTGGATTTACGCAGCCTATTTCCATGTTCACAGCCTCCTACTTTGCTTGAGGATGTGAAGATGGTTGTAGTCATGGAAACCATTCACAGCATTAAGATAAGCTAAGATATTCCTTTATTTGTCCCACAATGGGGAAATTCCAATGTTACAGCAACAAATGTGGATAGAGAAAAACAGTATAAAAAACAGTAAAGTAGGGAAATATATAATATAAATATAATATAACACTATGTACAAGAGAAAAAAACAGTAAGAATCAAGAAAAACAGTAAGAATCCAAACGACAGATAACACAAATAGTAGCAGCAAAAAGAAAGTTGCACATGAGCAATAGATTGCACAGTGAATACGACATGGTATTGCAGTTTTTACAGTTTTAACGACAGTGAACCATCAATTCTGTTTCACAATAGCAATGAAAGTAATTGGATTATGTACCTGACTCAGTAGAAGGATTTTAATTTGAAACAGGTGGAAGAAGCAACATAACAGATCATCCATTTAGAGAACAGGAAAGCTTCTTACTAAACATGCATTAACATATGTCATGATGCTACATAATAACATTATAACTACAAATTGATTTTTTTGTTTCTGTTCTTACAGGCTGAGAATGTAATGCTGTTGGAGTTAGACATGTCTCCACCTACCATGTTTACCTTGAACCTTAATGGCGCTCACATGGAGAGAGCGTTTTCTCCCAGGCTGATGCGGGACCTTCTGGCACACGTCCCCATCAGAGAGAGGAGCGGTGCATCGTCACGGGTCAGGAAATCCCAATCCTGGTGAGAGAACAGCTGAGAAAGGCCGACATAGAAGCTTTAATTCAATGTTTATTTCTTAATTTTGTAAAATGCATCACAGTTAGGGCTTTGCAATTCATCGAAATATTATTGAAATTGCAATATGGCCAAGTGCAATATGCAAATCGCAAGAGTTTGTTTTGATAAAGAGCAAAAACAGCATTATAATGAAGTCATTATGATTTTAATCATTCCCACATAATCGTTATTAAAATATACAATACTAAAGACAATATAATGTTTTTACCATATCGTGCAGCTTTAATCACAGTGCAGAAAGTATTTTAAAGCTCTATACAAGACATGTCTTTGCATGTTTCTCAATTTAACTACAAACCACATGTACTTTACATTTCTGCTGACCAGTTTTTCCCCAAATAAAATAAATTTTTTTTTTACATGCAAATCCACTCGTATAGCCTTTTAAATGCCACAAAGTCTCAGCACTTGATGAAATACTATCAATTATATGTATTGCTATTGATCGACCCCATTAAATCCTGTAGAAATATTGGTAATTATGTGATATTGGACAGTAAAAATGGAACATATTGTATCTTAAATAATATCTCATTTTTTGTTTAATGGTCTACAGGTATCAGGCACCACAAGCAGCATCTGTCACATCATCCTCATCATCCACCACTCTGACGTCAGAATCTCAGAGCTTCTCTCCGTCTCAGAGACAAAGACCATCCTCTGCTGCCTATGGTCCGGTTCAGACAAGCCCCTGATATGTGTCGACACAACAACGCACAGGGCACAAAAGGAGACGTGGGGGAGGAAATGAGAGAGAGGGGAGGGAGATCGTATGCCTTGATTTAAAATTGATTTCACACCTTTTTTGAGAAAGTATAACTTCAGTAAGCATGTATTCAGCTTAACCGGAAAGACAAATGTCATTTTTCTGCCTACTGTTGCCTAAAAAAAACAAAAAACATGTAGTTTCTCGTGGCTTAACGTCAAGTCTCAATGAATAGCACAGCCAAAACGTAATCGTAATCAAACCAGGTTTGACAATGTAGTAGATTATTTGGAGGATCCTTTTTTTGTTTATAATTGAATTCATTTTATTTTTTTAACAGCAATTTAATCACCTATTTTCTAAAAGTTGAAAGCCTGTTAAAATGGTGATTTTGTGATGGTGTGGTAGGTACTAAGGGCCTCCAAATACTGGGGGGAGGGAGGGGGAGCACCCTGGTTTAAACCTGTATGCTTGATGAATTGTTGCTTCAGTTTATGGCTAATGTAACTGTGAGCCAAAAAAAAATAATAATAATAATAATGTGAAGACAAGCTTGCAATGCCCTCTTGATTAGCTGCCTTATTTTTTCATAGTTGTGGGAAATCGTGCAAAGTCCATTTGCTTACACATGAAAATAAACAAAATTCTGAAATGATCTTGAGCTGCCTACTGTCTGTGACTACAGCTACATAAATATATATATATGTGTGTATATATATGTGTGTGTGTGGGGGGTAAAAACTTGGAAGACTTTTACAATGACAGCTATATACAGTAAGATGACGTTTCCTTCGGAGTCACATGACTCTTTACAGTAAGTCCAACATGGCAGACGGAGTGGATCTTACGCGGTAACTAAAGCAACATTTCAACTGAAAACAGACACATCCAACACTACTCTGCAACGAGACATCCACGATGAGGGAGAGACAGAAGAAAAAGAAAGGGAGGACGTGGGCGGAAGCCGCTAAAACGGTACTCCGGGTGTTTTTCAATCCGCCGTTTTGTTGTGGTTGTTTTCCTTGAACGCTCCCACTTGTACAACTGTGTTTATGAGTTCATGACCTGCTGCTGCTGCTGGAGACGAAATGTTGCGTACACCGCGCAAAGGCCCGTGTTGACTGAGAGACATACTGTGCGGGGGAAAGAAAGAGAGAGAGAGAGAGAGGAGAGAGAGACGCAGAGAGAGACGAACCACCCGCTGTCATTAGCCGCGTAGCTTCTCGCTCCTCTTGTCACGGAATAACAGCGTCGAGCCTGTGCACACACACGTCGTCCATTAACCCTGCGGTGTGTTGGGCCCGGGCAACACGGGTGACGACGTCCGTCACGATTTTCGAAGTGGAATAAAGTGAAAGCATGGAAGTGATCAGCGTCGGTGCTAGCACGCTAACTCCCCGCTAGCTCCCGCAACTCAGCTCGTCAACAAGTTTTGTCTGATATCAGTTGCAAAATAAAACACATGTGAAGCGTTTTGTGTCCGCATTGAGCTCTTAGACCCCCTGTGTTGCCCCTAACGTGACCCAGTTGTTCTATTGCTTTTGCATGCCAGCGTTTTGGGCGAGATATCAAGAGTACAGTAATGCATGTTGCTAGCATTGTAGCTGGCCGTGTAGCGTAGCGTGCTAATGGCTACAAAATATAGAAAAGTCCCGACAACTGTTTTCATTATTAAAGTGTAACAGTGTTGCTTGTATGGGTATTTACTGCTCAGTGGTGCATTAGCTTCACTGACTTATTTAAAATGAATAGTTTGTCCGTGTAGAGATCTTAAAAATGTAATACCGTTAGTTTGTAAACACCCATGAAGTCCTGGTTTACTGAGACAAACATACTACAATAAATGCGGAATATTGTCACAGAAATGTACAAGCTGGGAGCAACAGTCAAAAGCAACATGGTTTGCTCTCCACGTGAAGTTTCTGCAACGTTACTGTGAGATGTTTGTTTTATACAAAAGTGCTCTTGTGATCTTCATTCCCAGTTCATGTGATAATACCATATGGGAGTGTTTCCAAAAGGCTGACAGCCATATGTGAAAATTATACCTTAGTAGTTAACCACTTGGTATTTATCATCTGTATGACATGTAGACGTGCGTGGACCAACATCATAGCAGAAGATCCAGATCTGTTTTAGGCAAAAAGCCACAATGTTTGTGAAAGGTTTGTGGTCCTGATTGTTATTATTACACAGTCAAAGTTAGAAAAGCTTCAGCATGTGAAAACTCAGGCTAAAGTTTCCTTGAGACCACATGTTTCGTGACAACCACTCTTCACCTGAATATCTGACTGATGTTATAATGCTGCATTTTGATGTTTTATTATTGTAGGTTTTGGAGAAATACCCCAATACGCCCATGAGCCATAAAGAGATCTTGCAGGTGATCCAAAGAGAAAGGCTTAAAGAAATAAGGTAAATGTTTTCCCGGCATCGTAGCCTTACGAGAGCCAATGTCGTACAGATAGGAGACATGTTCATGAGTAAACACTTTCTCCCTCTGTTATTGATAGCGCATATCATATATTTTCCTTTCTCTTGTTCACATAGTAACAATTATTTTATTATATTAATAATTGTTTCATTTCTTTTTGTTTCATTGTCACTGTTCTCATCCAGAAGGTAAGAAAAAGCTAGCCCCCCCCCCACCCCAAACCCTTATCTTAACAAACTCACTGCAATGCCACTATTTTTGGTTTTGCCTTTTGCATGTTATTAACAATAACATGTTCTAGGTTCAGTTGCATAAAGACACAGCGTTAGACTCGCTAATATCTCGCCTAGGCTCGCTCTAGCAACCTGTTGCATAAAAACATGATTCTGTTTTCCAGTATTTTACATTTCTTGATGTTCTAACAAAATGTAGCATGGACGCTAATGACAGTGCTTTGACTAGAAGTTCAACACGAGCCAAAGAATTTAGTGGGGGTGTAAGTTTAATGACATAAATTATCTGACAGATTTTAGCCCGTAACATTTGTAAGCCTGACTAGTGCAATTTTCCCCCAATCTCAATGCATTTTACTATATTATATACTATCTGTTACGCTGTATAACACAAATGTAAGTTGACAAAAATAATTTTTTACTTCACTATACCTCTGGATACATCTCTGGCGTGACTGCTGAGGCATTATTATGCACTCTTAATTAACTCAAGTTAGTTCTGGAAATGTTTGACTTAACTAGAACAGATTTTTATGCAACAGACATAGTTATGTCAGACCAGTTTATTCCGAGAGTATCAGTTCCTCACGATGTTTAGATTAGTCTTGAACCAGTTTTATGCAACTGATTCTGTATTAAATAGTCAGTAAATTGCCTCACAGCTATAGTGTGTGAATCTGCCCTGAACTCACACATGTTCTCTTGATGCATGATGTCAATTCCTCCCCAGATATCAGACCAGCATTTACCCGTCTCACGTCTTTCTCCCAGCTGTCTGATTTATTGGGGAACAGATGTGTAATTTGCGTTTTTCTCTCATGATCCAGCGGAACCTCGCCGTTGGCATGTCTTAATGCAATGCTGCACACAAACTCTCGTGGTGAGGAGGGGATCTTCTATAAAGTTCCAGGCAGAATGGGGGTCTACACATTGAAGGTTAGTTAGACACAAATCAGCTTTCCCTACTGTGCCCTGTAAGGCCAAAAATCATGAAATGAATTGAGAAAAAGATCATTCACGATGATTTATTGTTGTAATTGTAACCATTTGTCAGTTTGTTTTAGGAAGAAAGCATAAATCTTGGTTAGCATCATGACGTGCTAACCAAAGATAAATATGTTCATACTCAACCAAAGATAAATATGTTCATACTCAAGAAATGATGAATGCTTTGGTTAAGGAGGGTGTGAGTGCTTACACCAAAAGATGTTTTTGAATTTCTGCTTGGCTCTTTTTCTGTATCTATAACACAAAGATGTAATACACTCTATGTACTCTATTCGGTAGAAGGACATCTCGGACGTGGTGAAGGAGCTGTCTGAGGAGGACTCTGAGGAGAGCAGTGACAATCTTTCGGACTCCCAAAGCACAGACAACAACAGCAGTACCATCACTCAAGAGGAAAGGAGAGGAAGATGGATGCGAAGAGGTATTGTGCACCTCATACAGGCTCATTATTAACAGTGTGTACGTCACTGCATCCATGAAGTGAGTTCTTTAAGTAGGGTTTACAGACGTCTCCAAAAGCTTTTTGTGGATCATTCAGGAATCATCAGACAACATTCATTTAACCATGATTATATGATATTATTTAATTTAAACATTTGCAGGACATTAAACTATGAACTCATTACTTTATAGCTGATAAATAGCCCTAAAAAACATTGTTCAACTTAATGTTTCCTGAGTACAGGAGTCACTTTATTTGTAAGCTCTGTATTTACAGTATTAAGGAGTAAGGGTTTCTTTCTTGTTGCATAATTGTTGCTGCTGTTCAACAATCATTCTGGCAGAATCAATAGAAGAGAAAGATCTCCTGGCATCCATCAATAAGTACACAATAAGTAAGGACTGCAGGTCTGCTCATTAGTTGATTTTCGCTGGTTGGTTACATTGCTCTGTTATGACTCTGAGAGTTAACGCCCCTTCTCAGGCGTTGTTAGAAGTCAATGCGGAAACACAGGAAACCAGCAGAGGTAGCGCTAGAAGAGGCAAACTAGGAGAAAGTGTCTTCATGACAAAACATAAATTACACCATCTCATCACAAAATGATTCTTGGAATACACTGAGCATCAGACATGATGATAGCAAAAGGTGGGTTTTATTTTTAAACAAACACGCTGTGTCCATAATGTCTTATTTGTCAGCAGGGAAGCTGCGTGCTGAATGTGGCGGTCACATCATAACAGTTTTTGCTTTTTTTGTGCGTCTGTGATGTCAAATCATTGCTTTATTGTGAATTGCACACCTGATTGTGCTTGATTGCAGAGCAGCTTTGGAGAATAAGCTTTCCTTCCAGTGCCAATTATTTTGTTTTCCCCAGGCTGTGCTCTTACTGACTCAAATTATTTCTCTCTGCCACTTGAATATTTTAAGTGACTGTTAAAACAGGAAACTGTATTTTCTCAGTATGACCCGTGACCACTTCCTCATTATGCACAAGTTAGAAACTGCCAAGCAAATAACCTTCGTTCATATCTGAGTAGGAGGACTCTGATATTGTTTTATTTTTGAACTAATCAATACAAAGAACCACAAAGTCAAATGCAAATTAAGTGGAATCGAAAAAGAAACAAGTGGAGCTGCTATGGTATGTAGAAAAGGTGCTCTTGTCAGAAATATCCAGCAGAAAGATTGTTGTGAATAATCTTTCTGTTGAGTGGTTGGCCCTTTTTTTTAGTAATTTGATAGTTTAGCAAGGTAACATAATCTGCTTCATTGTGCACACTCTTGGTTTCAGTTTCATCAAAACAAAAGCGTGATGTGATAAAGTCTGTACAACACCCTCAGGAAGTGTATTTAGTAACGTGCTTCGTGCTTTTGTATTTCGTAGTTCCCTCCAAGCTGCAGTCACAGCCGTCCTCCCCGCAGCCTCGATGCTCGTCGCCTTCTGTCCCCACCAGTAAACTCATCTCTCCCTCGCAGAAACACAGCAAGAAAGCTTTGAAACAGGTACTTTTTGGTTCTGTGTTCTCTGTTTTTAATTGTTTATCGGATTAATTACTACTTTGACTGTTTGTGCAAACACACGTCTCAGATGTTACAGGAGTTCCTGCCACACCCTCGTACTCACATACGCTCATGTAAATCCCCTGTCAGGCCACTCTGCAACACACAAATATACATTCTTGTTAAGCATTGTAATGTTTTCATGGAGTGTAGAGTTTCTAACTAGGACTCCTTCTCTTAAATCAAAAAACCGTACTGATCAGAATGTGAGTTACCTGTCCATCAATCTGTTGGATGTTTGAATTTATTATTGTGTCATATATTAAAGCTAATCCATGACCCATGAATCCAGATTTCACCACATCTATCTAACCTTTTTCACTGTTTTCAGTAAACATGTACATAACCCATGTTTATCCTTCTGTTTCCTGTCTGTTTAACATCTTGTGCTGATTATTTTAAAACAACTAGGCGTCAGGGAAAAATGCCTATAGCTGGTTTTACAGTATTAATGTCCTCATAATCCACCCGTTCAACATTTTCCTATTGGCTGCTTTGTGCCTTTTGTGTTCCATTTAATTAGATTTCACTTGATTGCACAGATTGTAATTCACTCCATCTGTGCTGGTGTGGAAATTTCAGCTTTGTAAGACCAATTTCTATTCATTTATTGGGCGTAGGCAACACTAAAAGATGGCGATTTGGCCAAAATATTAGTGCTGGAGAGACCTATGGTGTACATTTCTTTTGTGATTTTCTTTTTATTTGAATCAGCTAAAACAACAAAAAGGCACTCTGTGGACTGTCTTGGATTGCTTCTTTAATCTTTTGACATTGTGTTTATGAGGTGATCAGACTTCTTCGACAGATTTACAACAAATAGATGATTTATGCTTGTGTTATGCAACCTATGTTTCATTGCTGCGCTGTTATTTAGCTGTTATTTAACCAGGCAAGTGGCCCTGGGGGGGTAGTTGCAGGGAAAGGGAGTGTTAGACAAATTCACACTCTCTTTTTCTCATACTCCTGGCTGTTTGTTCCTTCCTTGTTTTGCTCGTTTTCAGGCCTTGAAGCAGCAGCAACAGAGAAACCAGCGCAGACAGGGGGGAATGCCAACCACCTCCAGTCCCAGACTGCTTCTGAAAACCATCAAAGATATGGCTGACATTACTACAAATCCTGGTAGGTGGCTGCTATTATGTTGTCAAATAGAATATCAAATGAAATGAATAGTTGCCCAATGGGTTTGTGTGATAGATGTAGATCCAGCTCACAGGAATCAGGTGTGATACGCAGTCAGTTTGGACATTTTACTAATGTTCATTGCAATATATTACACACAGTTTTGAATATGAATGACTGATATTGATGTAGCAGAACAATAGGCATAGTATTATCGTCTTCCAACCATGACTCATATATAATTAGCATCAGAAGTGTGGAAACATTAGATCTCTTGCCTGCAATTTCTCTGAGCTTTTCCTTCTACTCCTTTCCCTCTGTCCAAACAGAGTTATGCCACCCAGTCGTCCCAAGGAAGGTTTCCCAGAGGTCAGGCCGCCTTAGTGCAGGTAAGTCAGACATCTACCTACATGTAAAGCAGCAGTTTGAAAATCTTAAAGACAAGGGCAGGTCACGTTCTTTACTGTCAACAAATCCCATGAAAAGACCAAAAGCAACAATGACTTGGTGCATTTATCTGTGTTGCCAAAGGCTAGTAAAGCTTATTCGTCTTTGCCATAGACCTCCGTAGTTGTCCAAAAACTATTACAAACCACCCCGTTGCACTGGATGACATGTTCTTTCATTAAAATCAACACAGACACTGTAGTTTGTTTTGAGTCAGCTACACTGTCCTGGTGCCCTAAATACTTACTAGTCCACTGAAAATATACGAATCAGCCTTTTTAAAATGAAACTGTTGTGTTTTTTTTATACTAATGTTTTTTCAAAGGTTTGAGTTTTCAGTACCAGTGTGTTTGGATATTTATGCCATAGACAGGTAGAGAAGTCGGAAAGTATTGACAGAGGGATGCATGCATTGTTTTGGATTTTGTTCACAATAAGAAAATGTAGAACAACCATTAAAATACTTTAAAATAATCTGACAGTTAGGAGTAAGTAAACTGCATTATTTCAAGAAGCTGAGGAACAAGGGAAATGATAACCACATTAACAAAACAGCATGTAACTGCATGTCAGTGTAAATTACTCAAGAAGCTAGTTGCAAGATCGACGTTTCGATGTTTCTGCATTGCTGGATCCGTCTTGGCTTACATCTGTTTCCTGTTTTGTGTTGCAGGGCAGCTGAAACGTACCAAGTGTAAAATAGATGTGGAAACACCAGACTCCATTTTGGTTAACACCAATCTGCGGGCAATCATCAACAAGCATACCTTCTCTGTCCTGCCCCCAGACTGCCAACAGAGGCTGCTCAAACTTCTGCCTGAAGTTGACCGGCAGGTGGCGCTAAGATTATACATACTTTTTATGCTTCTGTTGCATTATCTAGCACTAAATGTGACGTGTGTAATATTATTGCATGCAATTTCTCATCTTTAAATGTAGAAACCCTCTCTGCACATGGATATACATTTCACACACAGCTAACTTCTGCACAGCTTTTCTGTATTCACTGATTCTACATGTTTAACTGTACACCACATATAGGAAGCATAAGTCAACGTACTGATGCAGTGACTATGATTGCGATGATGTTAGTCATAATATTGTGCCTACTCTCCCCAGGCCTGCATGGACGGCCTGCTGAAGGTCACTAGTTCTGCCTTAAACAATGAGTTCTTCACTTCAGCAGCACAGTCTTGGAAGGAAAGGCTGGCCGAGGGTCAGTGCAATCATTCCCAAATGATAATAACAACATTCAAACTTAAAATTATTGTGTCACCAAGTATAATGTAACCTTTCCCTTTTTGTATTACGTAACTTTTTCCTTTACAGGAGAGTTCACTCCTGAGTTGCAGTTACGAATGCGCCAAGAAATTGAAAAGGAAAAGAAAGTCGAGCACTGGAAGGAGGCCTTCTTTGAAAACTATTATGGTGAAAAGTAGGTTCTCTTTTATGATAGAAAACGTTTATTGTTTCTTAATTCACTAACCCCATCCAGGTTTACAGAAGTTGGCATATTTTCTCAGTCTTTCCAAATGCCAAAAGACAGTTCCTTTCAAATTACAAGGCCTCTCCTGTAGTACCTACAATACAAACAGTAGAATGGCAGTCTTACTTTTTCTAAGAATTTTTGTTTCTCCACCACATTAACAAGATTGAATATCTAATTTCAGAAATGCATTGTTATTAAACGGTGGAGTGTTTGAAAGGATTATGTAGAGTTGAATGAGATTCCAAATGGGATCTAAGCACCACCCTCATCTCCCTCTCACATTACAGGAGTAGATGAATACCTGGTAAGAGTTCTTCTTGGAAACATATAAGTATGTTATTAGTAGAATTACAGTGGAATTGTTCACGCTATTCATAACATTGTATTGGATTGCTTCAAGACAAGGCTAAATCAAATTGAATCGACCTGTTAGCTGCTTAAAAATGTATCTAATTTGGAGGCTCATTGATTGTGTATCAAGATGCCAATCGAAGGGGTCTCGCTGGATGACTTGCAAAAGACTGAATGGATGATTACCAATTTTTCATTGTTGCAATATGTCATACTTACTTTATAAGGCTTGTAGGGTGTAGAACATTTTATTTTAAATTCAATTTAAAACTATATTAGTTTTATTTAGTAAAAAATACATAACTTTGTTCACAGAAATGTAGGGAATATGAGTAAAAATCTCTTCCTTTTTAAGAAAACTATTGATTTATGGATTTATTTCTTTGTCTGTCTTTCTACCTTCCTCTTCTCTCTCTCCCTGTATAGTTCTGGGCTCAGCTTTGAGGAATCCAAAGAGCTGACAAAAGCTGATCTGAATCAGGAGTCTGCCAGGCCCCAGTCCCCGACTCATCAGACAGGACCTGCCGCTCAAGCACCGGAGGATCCCAAGGGCACCAAGGACAGCAGCCAGACTGATGCTGCAGCCACCGCTGTGAAAAACATGAAGCCAACACAGGAGCCTCTGAAGGCACCGACAGCTCAGAAAGAGCTCATCTTCACCACAGAGCCCATGAAGACACGGCGCTCACAGTACGCTGAGGATCGTAAGCTGAACACAACAACGCAGTCTGCTCCAACACCTGCAGCGACAACACCTGAGGTTGTGAGACTGACCGAACGGGCCGTCGTAGGAACGCTGCCTGAAAAGGAGCATAAAGAGGAAGTGAAGGAGGAGAAAACAGAGCTTCCCCAGTCACCTGTGAAGAAGAGCCATCCACCAAAGGCTAGTTCAGAGTTAAAAGAAGATCAGCCAGCATCTGTGCTTAAGCCTGCTGAGGAGAGCGAACAGGTCATCTCTGAACCCACTGGCCCCTCTGAGCCGGTGAAAAGGAAATCTGTCAGTGAGATAGAGGGTGAATTGACACCAGAGAAAAGGCCCCGTATGTCCTCAATTTCCTCTGTGTCTTCAGTCTCCTCCGTATCTCCTCCAGCATCATCCACATCCAGCCCTCCTACACCATCTCCAACAACAAATCAGAGGGTTCCACCTCTCAAGGTAGGGAAATGTTTGTAAAACCTCAAAGTCTTCTCTGATCTGTCTATCTTTTGAATATCAAAAACTCACCACTTGTAGGCTTTAAAGGTGGTTCTGCCAAGTGTGTTGCTTGCTTCTTTGCAGAGGGGTAGCAGCTGTAGTCAGCTTAAATTAATAGTAGTAAGAGTGGATTCCAATGGCAATGAGAATTTTTTTTCAAAAAATAATCAAAATGTCCACAGATATTTCTCAAATCCCTCCTGCATTTTTCTGCCAGTGATCTTCATGCTCAGTATGTTCCAAACAGTATCTTCACTAGTAAATCCCTGAATTAGCTACTTTCAGCAGGGTTTTGTAGCAGTGAGTTGGCAATAACATGACACAGAAGTAGTGTATTTTGCTAAGTTGTGAACAAAGTTGTACTTGTATCATAGATGTTTTTTATTTACATATATATGCATATCTTAAAACAAATCTCTGTTTTGTCACTTTGCAGATCTCAGTGTCACGAATTCTTCCCGTTCCACTGTCACCTAGCCAAGTCTCACCTAGGACTCCCCTCCCGGCCCCGCTTAGCAGCCCAGGCCGCACTGGTGCTCGTACTTTGGCTGACATCAAAGCCAAAGCCCAGCTTGCCAGAGCGCAGCGAGCAGCAGCTGCCGCAGTATCATCTGCTTCAAAGGGATCGGTGCCAGGCCCAGGGCCAGGGGGAGGCAGTGGTGAGCAGACACAGCCATCGCCCAGCCCCAGCCCAACTTCCCCACAAGCATCAACCAGGTTACCAGCCTCCGACAGCAGCAGCGGTCAGACCACTACACCTCCTTCTCGCCCATTTGACTCTTCTGGTCAGCTAAGCCCAAACCAGTCTCAAACATTTTTCTCTAGCATAACTGACGACAAACACAAAGCTCCCTCTGCTGGTACTGTCAGTGCAGGACTCCATAGCGCTCAAAAGAGTTCAAACACATCGATGCAACCCACTCCTTCATCTGTGCACGCTCTGAAGGTACAAGAAAGCCCATCACCAGCTGGATCATCAACCAGGACCAGCTCCTGTATCCCTGCAAACAACCCGCTGGTCACTCAGCTTCTGCAGGGCAAAGAGGTTCCGTTGGAGCAGATCCTCCCAAAACCGCTATCCAAGGTGGAAGTGAAGATGTCAAACTTACCCTCTGGTAGCAAGGGGAAGACGTCACACTCTGCTGAGCATAGGGTTGATAAGCAGATGTCCCACCAGTTCAATACAGCAGGACGAGCAGGAGTTTTCTCAGAATACACAAGACATCACAGAGAACTTCCTGATAAGGAGACTCAGGAGCAGATCCTACAGGCTCTTATGCAGAGGAAAGTGCAGCAGAGCCAACCTTACGGCGGTATGGGACCTCAGCACCCTCAGTACAAGGTCCATCAGCTGGTGCATGCAGAAGAACGTCAGGACCAATCCAGGATTTCAGTTGGATTTCTTGGTCGTAAGAGGATGCCCAGGCCTGCCATGACAGGACATTACCTGCTGAATGTGTCCACATACGGCCGAGGACCAGAGAGCAGGAGACTGCACCAGTCTGCCATCCCAAACACTTCTGTGTCCAGTTTAAAAAGGGAAAGCACAGAAGGAGAGGAGGTGGCCAAGGAAGAAGAACCAGTCAGGAAAGTCTTCTCTCCTGTTTCTGGGGTTAAGACAGAGCAGCAGGTATACTCAATAACTAAATCTGATGAAGCAGGAAGCGTTCAACTTTGGTCCAATGTAAAGACTGAGCCTGGATCAGAGGATAGTGTAGCTGGTGCCGATAACAACAGCATCAGCGCGACAGCCAAAGACACCAGCCCTTTTTTACAGTCACACCGAAGGCACCTCGAACTCTGCAATAGTAATCAAGGAAACTCCGAGCCATATCTTACCCAAGTGGACCCCAGTCACCAGCGGCCGTCTGCCTTTCAACCCCAGAGAACACTCGATAATCAGGAACCCGTGGCAGCATCGTGCTACGGTGGCACTATCAGCATGTCTGTACCTCACACTTTGAACCACAGCACTGCAGGCACCGGCTCTTCCACTGTCTCATCGGAGGCTGACAGCAGCGGCGTCCACGGGAGCGTCATGTCTTTCTCAGTGACTGTCACCACCATACCCGCCGGTCACTCGTTAGAACACGGCAACCAGGGCGAGCCCTCACCTGAACAGACGTTCATCGAGGGCTCCAACATGGAGGACGTCCAGTCTAAATGCTACTGCCGACTGAAGGCTATGATCATGTGCAAAGGATGTGGCGCCTTCTGCCATGACGACTGCATCGGCCCCTCGAAACTCTGTGTGTCATGTTTAGTTGTACGATGATATGAAATTAATAATAATTAGAGGATATGGTTTGATTTGCATTGAAGCGGGGCACAAAGCAGAGCCAGGTCATACAGAATCAGTACAGAATCAGCGCTCGGGTGAAGCACATTAGTCGTGCTCCAGACAAAACAACCAGCATGTGGTCACTGTTGGAAAGGCAAGGATTTACACTGGATGGGTTTCACCAACATCTATGGAACGTTGTTTTGTGCAATTTTATGGTAGAAATGTTTCAATCAAATCAGTAGTCTGTCAGATGTGTGACAAATATAAAATCTGGCAATGTTTGCACTCGCCTAGGATTAGTTTGATATATTTTTTTAAATATATATGTGTGTGTGTGTGTGTGTAGTTTTTAAAAAAGGAGGGAAAATGAATGTTGTTATTTTTGTAGAACATAATGACTGTTGTTGTGTTTTAGACTGACACTTTTTATTATTGGGCCTAATCAGTTATGGTTAACGGCAAAAAAAAGGGCGCTAATGATAATCATTGGTTGTAGAGTACCTCCTACTTTGCATTTATGCACGCATGGCAGGGAAGTGCAACTTACAGTAACTATTTTATATAAAAACTGTACATTTATTACTGAGCACACTCAGATTCAAGAACTAGAAAGAGCATGTATAGTTTTAGAAAGAGAATACAAAAGGAATTTTGAATGATACTGATTGCTCATCACATAATTTTTTGACTAGCAGTTACAGAGCGAAGCACTTGAAACCACCTGGATATATGGTAGTAACTGTGTACAGCACTTACATTCAAAATATAGGGAGAAAGAAGAATCATTTATATATATAAAAAATGCCTATATGTTGCTTTTGACAAATTGAGATCTTTTCCATTCCAGGTCAAGGTCTAGAGTCACTTCCTACTGTGTGAACCTGCATTTTCTCCCCAAAAAGCCAGTTTGTAGATATTGTGTCCCGTGAGGTGGATTTTCTCATGCTTGTATATCTGTATAGATAGATCAGCAGTGGCAAACGGTAAAAAAAACACTCAAGGCAAGGGGAGAAAATGAAGATAATTTTGTTTTTTCACTGTAAATATTATGCTCATTTACAGTATATGCCTAGATGTAGAAATGTATTTTATTTTATTCATGTGGCACACCTTGCTTCAGCATATCCAGCTGTTTATTACTTAATTATTATTACTGTGGAAAGAAGAAAACAGAGAAGAACAGTAAGTTATGCTAAAACGCTAAATGCTTTATCTCAGAATGATTCAGCATAGTATGCTTCAGTTTTACAAAATGATTTGGAGGTACAATATGACACTGATTAACAGGCAGGTGTAACACTTCACTTTAAAATGGCCTTTTTCCAGAGAATTTAGAGCGTTATCCACCGTTTAAATGTGATATGAAGTATTGTGAGCACAAAATAATACTGTATCATGTTTATATAATGTACAATAATGTATATGTGTGATGTTCAGGGATGGGCCAGCACATTTGTGGTGTGAACACTGTGTTGTAACTGCGTTATGATGATGTTAACACAGTAAAAATTTTTATTTTACCACATATTAACATGCAAAAAAAAAAAGGCCAGTGTGAAGAGTTACCTCAGCAGGTTCTTTGGGTGTTCATGCTGATTGCAAATTAAGACGCATCAACTATATTTTGAAATTTCCTGGAAGTGCAAAGTAGGCCTGTTTTATAGCAATTATTTCCAAGGTAATATGCCAAAGTCACCTTAAAGAAAACAAAATAATCAGAACTTGTTTTTAATGTCTGACTAGTTAATCAAAGTAATATATTTTAATTAATATATTTTAATATAAAAAAAAATCTATTTGCTAATTGTTTTTAAAAATCAACAGGGTATTTACTATAATAATATATTGGCTGTCCGTTTTTTCCTATGATTTTGTCTAGACTGGACAGACCACCATACAGAAAATAACTTGACTTTTTATAATTCAAATTGCCCAGGTATCAATATTCTGTATGGCCCAGGTTTTTTCAATGGATCTATTGGTCTATATTTTTCCATAGAGATGTTGTCTAATATGTGTATCCTGTTAGCTGTCTACATTTGTGTCATTACCTTATGAAAAGAAAAAGAAAAGTTTTTAAAGCACCGTTTTTAGATCAGTGGATTAATCAAAGTCCATTTTTAAATGTATTTGTTATTAAATGGGGGTTGTGTCTTGTGGAAAATTGGTTTTAAGATTGTAGGGCTAGAGTCAGAAGCGGTTTCCACAAACCTAGCATAGTCATTTCACTAAAACTGGCGTACCAGTATTTGATTCTGTTAACACAAATTTAATTTATCCCCCATAAATATTTAGGTCTTATTTGGTTAAATGTGATGTTAGGATGCTGTATTTACTCATGTAGAGTCGGGGACTAGACTGCACTGCAAAACAATTAACAAATACATTCAATCATCCCAAAAGGCAGCTGAAATCTTTGTTAATAAGGACTGAAACCTGAGTCAGGCAGCAGTCCCCACTGTCATTGAAGTTACCTGTTGTGTGTGCATTCAGAATAGCAGTTCATATAGAACTGACTGTGCAGCGGAAAGTGTCATGGGCAATCCCCACCATTTTAAAATGTCACGTTTATCACTAGGTGAATTTGTTTAATATGTCTGTGTCATTTTGTCTCCATTTAAACTCCGGGTGAATGTAATATAGTAATCAGCACTTGTAAACAAAGTGTATTTTATCAAAAGTTATAGACTATTATGAATAAATAATGAAAAGAGAAGTGATTTTGTTTGTGTTTACTGGTGCTTATCTCACACACAGAGAGGAAATTCAGATTGCTCGTCACTATGATTGTGTCCTGGATTTGGCTAAGAGCAGCTAATATCAGTTTCAACTCCAATATAAAATGACTCACAGTTGAAACGCAGATCCACTTAAAACTTTCCAGGTTGAATTATTAGTAAAAGTAAAATTAACAAAAGTAGGTTCAAATATCTGTTTCTTTGATAAAGTATAAACTCAAAGGTAAAAGCTGGTCTACGTAAAATCTTTAGGGGAGAATTTAATGACTCCCAAGGTGCCTTTTTGGCAAGAATCATTCAATCACTGACCTTAAAACTCAGTTGTGTGCTGCTAACAGCGATCTGAAGCTAAAGATCATGCTGTTGGGAAAACTACTAACGAAATCTGCATCTTAAATTCATTTACTTTTGGATTCTGGGTAATTTTTGGATGATTTAAGCAACTATGAAGCAGTGTTTTGTTCACAACTGCAATGACAAAGTGTTTTGAAAGTGCTAATGCACTCTGATGGGATTCTTCTCTATGGCAATGGAGGCCGAGGCTCATTGTTTTATTTAGGGCCGTTCACTGGATGGACAAAACATGATTTCTTTATGCTAAGAAAAAATCAATAAACTGGTTACTATAACATATGCCTGCAGGGCCACTACAGTATTCCATGTTAACACTGCAGATATCAATAACTTTAATTTGAAATGGGAATAGGCTACAGAATGGGGAAAACCTTCCACACAGACGCTTGTTTGTTGCATTATGGGAAATGTAGGATCCAGTGTATTTGAAGCTTGACTTATAAAGTCAGGCTACCTCATCCTCCTGCTGCTTTGATTGCGTTCATTGTTGTTGTTTTCTGACTTTATGAAAGCACAATAGCAAATAGCTGGAGTATCCCTTTAAATCAAATTTAATCTGCGTTTCTTGTTTTTTCTCCACTCTATTTTGAGGATCATAATTCAGAGTAGGAGCAGCAATAGTAGTAGTGCGCCTTTAACCAGCGTGCGTGCGCACATGCGTAAAGTATAGTAGGTGGCCGCGCATGGCATCTCCGTGCCTGCTTTTCCTTTCTGCTCTGCCGTCCTCTGCCGCTGGGTCGCTGATGATGCCGCGCAGAGCGGGGCGCTTGTACATTTCTGTGTGCGGCTACAACCGCAGTTCCCAAGATTGAAGTCGAATGAAACGGGAGAGGAGCTTGAAATACGATGATGGATCGTCCGAGCCGTTTCTCATCGCTCGGACAGCTGTAACGTCGGCGGACACACGCGTGGATTCATCAAAGGTGAGAGTGCGGCTGTGAATCACGGAGGAAATATCCTCCTTATTCACCCTGGACCACTTATCCTCCCCATCTGATGCTGCTGCTGCTGCTGCTGCCGATGATGATGATGATGATGGTGAAGCTCTAAACGCAACCTGCGTGATTTTCCCTCCGGTAAAAGGCCAGTTCCCTGCTATGCCTCTCATTCGGCTGCTGAGACACAGTGAGAATTGAAAAGATGCAGGATTGCCATTGTTTCTTATCCCAGTTTTTTTTTACGAGCATCACGACACACCATTCCCATTGCGGAAATAAGGTAAATAGGCAGTTAAATCAGCAATATGGCTGCGTTTGTGCCCTGCCGTCGCTCCAGAAGTGATTTATAAGTGCTGTAGGATTGCTCACGGTGAGAATTGAGGCTTGTAGAAACCGAGGAGTGAATGATATCAGCGGAAGGGAGGTACTGCAGTAACCGAGTCCTTATGTTGACTCGCGTCAAAGGATGTTGTCATTACCTCGAAGCTGAAGGTGCGGTTACAGTAAAATGCACCTTTACGGGCCTGTAATGAGAACCACACAGTCTCTCTGTGTCAAGAAAGGGCTGACATCAAAATAACTACGAGTTTATGGTTATTTATGGCCAAATGAGTGAATGTAATTGAGTAAAAATCCCACTGAATTCAGACCTTTATCACACTGATTATAGTCTGTGCCTCTGGATGTGCTCTGGTCTGTGGAATCATTTTGTCTATGAATTATTAAGAACTTGTCTCTGTTTCCTTATCTGACATGATATAATCAACTCATGTGTTAAGCTGTCATTTCCTGCCATGCACTGCTTACATTTTTTTCTGAAGATTGCCTGCCAATTCAAGGCCTTCAAGTTGCCTACTCATGAATTTCTGCAGTTACTTCACAGGCTGAATATTTACAATGAACCATTGTGTTATTTTGCTGACATGTGTCTGTTGGGTCTCCCACTGCATAGCAAACGTTTTTCTACCCTTTCCCCAAAAGTACAGCAGTGCTCCTCTAACACATCTATCCCTGAAAATGCACAAATACAGTGTGTGTTGCCCCATTCAGGACCCCATTTAATATGTAATTAGGCTGACCAAGTGTTTTCAAGTTGCCAAAATCGACCGTTAATCCTGAGTTATTGTCATGATTTGCCCACTGAGCTATAAAGAGCCATACGGCTGTCTTAAATCGCTGTTTAATGTAGCACCAAGTGGTTTATTGCAGTCGTACAAAGCAGCAATTATAATTAGAGCTGAAGCAAATAGTCAATTGATCGATAAGTCGCACAACAAAAAATGTTTTTTTATTAAACAATAATTTCAGTCAATACTCAAGCAAACATTATCTGGTTTCAACTTCTCAAACGTGAAGATTTTATGCATTTCTCCTTTTAATATAATATTTTGAGGGTCTTGGTCGAGACACTTAAAAGATGTCACCCTGAGCTCCTTGAAATAGTGATGGGCAGGGCTGCAACTAACAGTTATTTTCATTATGGATTAATCTTCCGGTTATTTTCTTGATTTATTAATTAATCAAAGACTTGTTTTGTTTATAAAATGTCAGAAAATAGTGAAAAATGCCCTTTATAACTCCCCAGAACCCAATGTGACGTCTTTAAACATCTTGTTTTTTTCCGATCAGTAGTCCAAAACCCAAATGTATTCAATTCACTATCATATATGACACAGAAAAGTATTCAGTTCTTACAGTTAGTTCAGTTAGTTCTTACAGGGCTTATTGTTTTTGATCAAGTGAGAAAAACATTATTTGATCAAGTAAATAATGATTTTAATACCTATTATTTTAAATTATATAAGAAATAATGATTAAATACCACTTAATTTCAGTAGATGGGGTCCTTTTAAAAACCTTCCCTGGTGCCTGTAACCTGTAATAAAAAACACTCAACACAAGCCAGAGTAGCAAGTTAATGACTGGAAAGAACTTCTGTCATAACGGGAGAGATCACCGTGAGAGTGTCTCTAAAACAAGGCTTCATGCGTAAGAAAAATCCCCAAAAATAGAGAAATTCTCCCTGTTTTTAAACTTCCTGAAGGTAGCAGAACCTTGGCCTCTTTGCTCACGCTCTGTTGGTCAGCTGATCCAAGCCCACAGTGAGTGAACGCACCCTGATGTGATCCAGACATGTTTTTGGGGTGCCGGGGTGTCCCGGTCCGAGGCCGTCCAGGGCTTCTTACTCATTGGCCAGCTGTGATGTACTCTGCGTCCGTCATCATTAAGTGGGTTCTTTGCTGCTCAGTCGGTGTCATTAGCCCACAGGATGCAGTCACTGCTGAGCAGCACGTCATGGAGAATTATAATTTGCACAGACCACGGGCACTGGAGTGCTCCCCAGCCAGCTCACCAATATCTCTACAGGAAGAGAGGGAGGGGAAACAAAAGCACAAATTGCGAGTTAATGAAGTCCTTGAAGGAGGGGGAGAGGGGAGGTGTTAATTACTTATTTAAAAGTCAACTACATTTTGTCAGCGAGGAATTGCTTATCTCTCACAGTAATGGTGACATCAAGTCGAAAAAGACACCCTCGCTAACTCTTTCAATATTGCTTTTTTCCCCCCCCGCAGGGTCGGTGTTTAGGGCTTCACTTTGTTTGACATTCAGCCAGCGACAGGTAAATATTTTTTAAATCTTTGAGAAATTAAATGTACAATGCTAAAATTATGTCTCATGACACAAGACTAGTGTATCTGTCATGTATGGGCTTAAAACTGATTTTCCCAGTATATTCTACTGCACACATATGTCAATAATATATTGATACTACTATTAAATACCTTCAATTGAAGCTTCAAAATAAAATGTTCACTGCTTAAGGAAAATAACACCTACTCTGAAGAAAAAACAACATTAAAATCCCTGATGACACTCTATGAACAATAGTATGAATGAAGGAATTGAACAAACTAAGGACACTTGTATTGTTTCAAAGGGAGTACTGTCGAGCACTATGTCAAAACAAAAATCAGACAATGAATCATTTTTGAAAGCACACAACAGAGCCGACACTGAAGTTAAAACAGGCGTCAGAACAAAAGTTAGAGTTTAAATTGTTCAATAGAAGTAGATTCTTTGATGTGAAAGAGATGAGTGTCCTTTTTGTTCCTCCTGCAGCAAAGTCTTCATACATACATATCATTTTTGTGGTGTTGATTTTAACGTTAAACACAGTTTGTCAACATGCAACATAAATAGTTTGACACACATATTGGCTTGGTTAAGGAATCATCCAGCACACAACCCCCCCATAAAACCACAACTTGTTGTTTGAACATTTTAGTTTTTTGTACGGATTAACTAAATGAGATATAACATGTTAATTAGCTAGCTTTAGTGGTGCTGTTGGTGCATTGTTTCCAGTCTTTATGCTAAGTTAAGCTAATCGGCTATTGGCTGTAGCTTCATATTACGTGTACAGACATATCAATCTTCTTATTAACTCCTGGCAAAAAAGCGAATAAAGCACATTTCCCAAAATGTTGAACTTTTGCTTTGGATAACAGTCACTTTTTTGTCAATATTACACCTTCTTAGTGGCCACCGAGCACCTGCACTGGTAGTGGCTTCCCACAACACTTTGCTGTATAACTGAGCCAAGATAGGTATAGTTTTGAATTTATAAAATAAGGATTTATCTCTGGTTTTCAGTGTCTTCATCTGTAATATTTCAGCGAGTGAATGAAACAAACTAAAAGATCAGTCTGATTATTAGGCTAGCTAGTCTTTAAAATCGGTTACATTTGGTGTAGTACTCAGAAAAACTAATCATTTCATCCCTATAGCGGTTTTCATCTTCTGATAAAAATCCAACTAAAGCCATATAATCTGTGCGTTTTACAGTTGGAATGATGACTAATACAGTCCTCGATGTACAGGGTAAATGAGAAAGATGAAAGAACGTACTGTGTCCTCTGGTATACCCACATTCAGGAGCTCTCATGTACAATATAGCTGACCACATAACACATACACACATAACCAGATCCTCTATATCATATTCATGTCTTGTCTTCCCACAAAAATTATAACTCATAGTCTGGAACATTTTCTTCGGTTGCACTAGTAATAAATCATTCTCATTTTCAGGGTATGTGATTGATTTTGGACAATGAAAAGAGCTGTGTGTTGCATTTGTGGACATGCTCCTGTCTGTATAGTAAGCATTGCATGCTCTGCTGTTTGATGTGCCACAGAATGATCGAGGAAGGCAGTAAACGAGGCAAGGCCATGGTGGAGAAGAGGCAGCTCTTCATGGAAATGAGTGAGTGGAGTCGACTGAGAGAAAATCTCTTTTCACTATTCATAGTCAGCTGTGGCTCATGTAATTCTTTGACTGGCTCCAAGTTGCACAGGAGATACGTGGTGCCTCACACTTACAGTATAATTCCTCCCACGCAAAGACAGTGATAGTGTTTGAATGTACCATCAGTAAGCCCGATTGTGTTTGGAAAAAACATGTATTTCATTAAACTGGACAGGCATAGCATTAATCTGAGATATTTTGCTTTGCAGGAGCTCAGAACTTCGATGTAATCAGACTGTCGACTTACAGGACTGCCTGCAAACTCCGGTTTGTGCAAAAGAGATGCAACCGTAAGAGCATGTAGATTCTTAAAGATTTTCCTCTCTTTTCAACTGTGATGACACTGTGTAACCAATAGAAACATTTGTTCCAACATGAATACTGACTTAATTGATCACGGTCTGTCTGTGACTCTCCCCCTCCCCCCTCACAGTTCATCTGGTGGATGTCTGGAACATGATCGAAGCCTTTCGTGACAACGGGCTCAACACACTGGACCACAACGCTGAGATCAATGTGTCGCGGCTGGAGACTATCCTGTCTTCCATCTACTACCAGCTCAACAAGCGGTTGCCCACCACCCACCAGATCAATGTGGAGCAGTCCATCGGCCTGCTGCTCAACTTCATGGTGGCCACCTACGACAGGTATGGGTCAGGTGATCAGTGCAGAGGAGCACTGCATTCAGTGAACTATATACACATTTTAGAGTAGTGGTTCCCAACCTTTTTACCTTGTGACACTATTTATCTATATGGGTGGTTTTCAATAAACTTTAGAGTCCTGAAGTTAACAAATCGTTAAAAAAACATAATTGACCGTTTACTGGTCTGGTATCACCGGTAGCTTATGGTGGCTTTTACAATGTGCAGTATTCTCCTATTTTGGCCACAGTGGCAAAAATCAGAAAAATGATTATGTCTTGCATTAAACATTTTCACATTAACAACTATGTGGGAAAAAAACAGACAACTAACATACATTACAGGTAGTGTTTTGAATAAAATAATAATACTAATAACAATAATTACTTGGCTGCTCTGCTTTGCTTCTCTCCCTCTTAAAGTATAGTAAAATTAAATATCTTTGAGTTTTGGACTACTGGTCAGACAAAAACGACACATCTTAAGACAAATCTTTTGTTTGAATTGTGATTTATTTACTATTTTCTAATATGTATGAAGACTAATTCACAGCCCTGCTCTGAATGAAAATACTGTCACAGGACATTGTTTGTTTTCCTTATGATTAGTACCAGATTACATAGTTTTTGCTTTCCAGGAAACTTGTTGGAAATTGTTTTTAAATTACAGACCTATAAAATAAATCGTTAGCATTTTATTTCCCAACACAAATGTTTAAATGCTGTTTTAAAGTCCACTGCGCGCTGCCAGGAGTGAAATTCTGGTATAAAAAAAAAAAATGCTGAATCCTTTGTTTAACACAGTGTCAAATACTGGAATCAGCTAAAACAATACTGTCCATGTGTCCCACAATTGCCAGAAAAATACGCAGCACATGACCTCATTGTCCTCAATTGTAGCTGTGGCCCAAACAATCCATCCAGCCAGGTTTTAGGTCTCAGAAATCTTGGCAATAAGCTGACAAATGTTGGAACCAATACAGATCTGAAGCATCCTTGGTGATGTTTTACTGTATTATGATCCCTTCTGTTAATGTCTGCTCTGTGCTTTACAGGCCCCAGACAGTGTGCATCCCGGAGTACAGAGGTTTATTATTGACCGTAAAGCTCTCTCTCATTATTGTACCTTGTGTGCTCAAATTGATTGGCTGCCTGCCCTGTCCATTCATTGACCCATTCAATTGCTTTACTTTTATCTGTAAGGCCATTCTGGTCCCGCTCCGTTATTATTCATGCTGCCGTATCTCTGGGAAACTTTGTGGAAATGACTGTCTGCGATCACAGGAAGCAGTTTTGCTATCTGTCCCTGCGGTCCAAACTGAATTAGGGAGAGGAGCTTTCATGTACTCTGTTACCTCTGCTCGGAAGCCAGAGCTAAATGAATCTGAAATGAAAGAGCTGGTCTCTCTTGGCGAATTAAAAAGATTTTAAAGGGTCTTGACGCAGCCTAATAATGACTTGGATATTCCGTGTTAATCTGAGATTTAAGGTTTAGTTCATGATTTTTGACATGTTGATGCAACATAGGTGCATTGATATGTTTCAGTTGTATTCTGGCAAATGCATTGCTGTATGTTGTGTTTATCATGGTGCACATCTCACCTCATCATCATTTTCTCTGTTTTCATCTCAAATTTATAATCTTAGCAGAATTCTCAGGTTAAATTAACAAAATAAAATAATATACATATTTTATTAAAGCACCTCAGTGTAACTTTACTGTGGCTACAGGTTACAGTTGTGGGATAGTATTATATTATCTATTACCTTCATTACATACATAGGGTGACAGTACAAGCAAGAAGAGTTTTCAGCTAACTGACAAAGCAAACATTAGCAACCAAAAGCTACTGGTCATACCAGAGCAAGTAAGGCTGTAGTGGCAAAGCCAGTCGGTGTATTGCAGTGGTGGAAAGTAACTAAGTACATTTAGTCCAGTAAAAGTAGTACTTTGTATATGGTACTACATCTCAGAGGCAACTTAAATATATTGGTCTGACAGCTTTTTCGGATCACCGTTTTTCATATTCTTCTTGTCTAGTGAAAATCATATATTTTCAGATTTGCTGATTCAGAATTTTTCTGATAAACTGAAAGATGAAATGTTCCTGTATTGAGCGGAGAAAATCCTCCTACATCTTAAGAAAATTAAACATGCCATTTTTCTGAACTCACGAAAGGTTGACTTGTAAGAGATACATGGTTCTCACAGCACAGCAACACTACAAACATAAAATAATATAATAGAATATGATGGATTGCTGTCGATTAAACTACCCGAACAGTATATAAAGTTGTTAAAATTAGCACAACGTTAAACATCTACAGCAGTAAAATGCAACATACACACACGACTGGTGTATTGAATTGAACAAAGGTGCATTTTACTGCTTATGAATTCAACTTCTCATTTCTAAAATGATGTTATTTAAAACTTTAAAAAGTCACATAGTACTGTCCTGTCACTTTAATACACCAGTGAACCTTTCTCTCTGCTTGCAGTGAAAGCCATGGGAAGCTGACAGTTTTCTCAATGAAAGCCATGCTGGCAACAATGTGTGGAGGGAAAATTGTGGACAAACTACGCTGTGAGTACACATCCCATCACTTTACACATATCAAGTCAGAACATATATATGTGAACGAGCAGCATTGTAAAATCAGCTTTAATCATTTGTGCCTAATTTTCTAAAATCAGATGTCATGGCTACCTGAATGTATCTGGGTTTCCTGAGACAGCAACTACCTTCATGTAGTTGCTTGAGTTAAGCACACAGGGGCACTGTTGGAACATGTATACAGAGCAGAATTAATTTGCTTTAGCTGTGCACATTTTAACTCTGCCGAGTAAGTGGACTGTGGATCAATAATATACATCTACAGAAATGTCAAATGCCTGTTTTGCCCTCTGTTTTTGGTAAGAATAATAAGTCTGACATTTCCCCTCTCTCAGATATTTTCTCACAGATCTCTGACTCAAGTGGAGTCATGATGTTTGCAAAGTTCGATCAGTTCCTCCGGGAGGTGCTGAAACTCCCCACAGCCGTGTTTGAGGGTCCTTCTTTTGGCTACACGGAGCATTCAGTGCGGACGTGCTTCCCTCAGCAGGTATGAGGAGGTTCTTCTTTTTCTTCCTCTTCTTCTTTTCAACATTTACTCTTCTTGTTTAATGCATGCATGTGTGTGTTTGTATCTAGAAGAAGATCATGCTGAACACGTTTTTGGATGTGTTGATGGCAGACCCTCCCCCTCAATGCCTCGTATGGCTACCACTCATGCACCGACTTGCTAATGTTGAAAATGGTAAGATCTGAACTCTCAACTGTTTATTTTTACACTGTACATCCACGCTGGAATTTGCATTAAAAGTAGTTAGCATGCAAACAAAGAGACAGCTAAAAATGTCATGGATAAAAATACATTCAGTTTCTGTACCGCCAAGTGGTCATACAAATAAGAACTTGACCAGAGAAAGAAATAAAGGAGCAATGATAATTCCTGGATTACTATATGAAACATGAACATGAAATTTTTTATGTAAATCATAATGTTATAACATCCAATTTGAAATAATTTCAAATGAAAACATTTGGACCATAGGGGTCTTACAGGGCATCTTCTGATGCTATTCATTCTTAATTAAAAGTACAGATGTATTATCAGCTAAAAGTGGTAGTGTTTCCACAACCTTGTTTCATTGATTTTAAGGGGAATCTGACCAAATCTTATGTAATTATATTTGTAAAATACATGTAATGCAGTAAAAAGTACAATATTTCCTTCTGGCTTTTTGTTAGTAACTCCATAAGTAAAGATGTCTCTTACGGAAAATCCCTCTATTGTTGTTTTTCAGTCTTCCATCCGGTGGAATGTTCCTATTGCCGGAGCGAGAGCATGATGGGTTTCCGGTATCGGTGCCAACAGTGCCATGGCTACCAGCTCTGTCAGAGCTGCTTCTGGCGTGGCCATGCCAATGGTCCCCATAGCAACCAGCACCAGATGAAGGAGCACTCATCTTGGGTAAGGCAAAGCCCTGATAACATATAATTTTACATTGTGTTGTTCCCTTTTCTAAACAATCCAAAAGTCAATATCCGTGTGAAAGAGTGGAATGATTTTACAGCATAGCAGACTATTCAGCCGTCTCCCTATATTTCCTGTCCTTTCAAAACAATCCAAGAGGGATTTTATGGGGTTTTACTCATTTTGAAAAATTAAATTGTATTGATTGAATTTGCTGCGTTGCCACATTCCCCCAAAGCGCAATCATTATGTTATAAATCGAAACAAGGGAAGTCACAGGCGCTGGATCCCAAATCCAATTCCAATCCCACTCAGTTTTTTCACAGAAAAGAATGAGTGTTCATAAAGCCTTAGGACTTGGATAACATGCATGAGTGCATGAAACAGTCTGTAATATGAAAAACCATTTATAACACTTATCACGAAGGTTAGGTGTATGAATCTGTTCTGGATGTTTTCCTACTTCTGTGACAAATTGGTGTAAATTGTATGTTTATGAAACATATCTGTGATGTTGTTCACTACATTTCATTTGGTTTCCAGTGCAACAACCACCTGTAGTGTTTCGTTTGTGTATCTGGCAGCATTTTCCACCTGTCACTATTCTGATTACTGGTAGTGTGACTGGTCATTTCTCTAGCTGTGACAGAAAAAATGGCTGCTCATTCAGGAGGGAGACCAGTGCTGGGTCTGCTACTTAACACACTACTCTGTCTTTTTGTGTGTGTCCGTATTGTAAGGGTAAATGGCAATTTTATTCATTAGGTCAGGTAATTTCAAAGATCTCAAAACCTTCTCAAAAATCCACACAAAAGGATAAAAAATGTCTGTGTGTGTGAATTATTATTCCAAAAAATTCCACAATTCAATATTTTTGCTTTGTTAGATGTTTTAAAGAGCAGTTTTTTGAGATCTAAATGACTTATAGGTATAAAAAAGTTTAGGAGTGGCTCCAGTAGATCACCTCAACCGAACAGCCCCTCACTAGGCTGCAATGGCTGCAACATAATCTTGGAGTGAAATCTTGAGGTGAAATGTGCCTGTCACGGTACGTCCACTAAAAGTGCTCGTTTTTTGCCACTGACAGGCTCAGATTAAAGAAATAGATTTAAAGGGTTGTTAAAACACCAGAGTCACACAAACAAACTCAGAGACTGAGGCAGTGGTAGACCAGCAACTCCCATGTTCTGCGAGGTAAAATTGCTTTTTTTGTCAAAGAAGTCTTGTGGCTTTGAAGAGAGCAATATAACAGCTTCAGCTCCCCGTTGGAATGGGCTGTCTGAAAAGGGATATCTCTGTAGGAATCCTTTCCATAATGTTGTCAGATGCTTAGAATAACAATCTGAGCCAGTCAGTGGCAAAAACAAGCACTTGTAGTGGACAGGCACATTTGCCCCAAGGTCTACATTGCAGCCTGGTTAGTGGTAGCCAATTTCCAAAACCATGTGTACCTATTAGTCATTTAGACCCCAAGCTATCTAAAAATAGGGCACAGGTTTAAAAATACCGGAATTACCCTTTAATTACAGTAGTGCAAAACTACAGCTTTAATTGATGTTTTTGCACACATGCATTTCTACTATTTTGGATGCAGCTCATTTGTAGAAGCAATCTGGAATAAATGCTCAGTTGCCACTTTATTATGTACACCTAGCTAAAAATAATGCAGTCTAATATGACAGTCCTGCATTAAATCCTACCTTCGTGAAGGTTAAAGTGTTCAGTTATGCAGTGGCCATTGAACGTTTGTTTTAGTCACATTAAAGGATTTTTATTTTTTATAATACCAGATGTCCATTCACCTAATAAAGACAGTTCTCCCTAAAAATAGTTGTGTTAAAGTCTTTAAAACTGGAAGTAAAAGTTTTACTTTCTTTCTTCACTTTCCTAAATTAGTGCACATGCTACACTGATCATCCTGCCTTAGGGAACTGCTATCCCGAAGCCTAACCTTACCTACAATGAATTCATTAGTTTGTGTTTTAGTTTGTGTTTCACTGGAGTGTTAAATGAAAAAACTTATTTCAAAGACTTTATTACCCTGCTGAAGAATTAAATTCTGGTCAGATTTGACAGATTTGACACTGAAATTGGTGATAATAATAATCAGTGATAATAATACTGTATGTAAAAGTACAGTTTCAAAAATTCTATCTATTATTGTATGGTATGTTGTATTGTATGCCAGTTTTAAATTTGTAAATAGCATTCAAATTGAAATTAGGACTAGGAAACTGGATTAAAGGTATGTTTAATCTATGACACCTAATTCAAATCCTTCAAACCTGATTAAACCCAAATTTGATGTATATGCTATTGTTGTCTATGCGCAGTATATTTAACCTTTAAGTCGGAGATACTGTTTGGTTGTTTGCTGTTGCGTTAATTTCTAAGGTCACACAACCAACAGTCCAAATGGATGCAGGATACACGAGGCAGCCATCATGCATACGTGAACATGTTGTTAAAAGCAAGTATATCTCCGGCCTTACACAACAAACTCTGTAATGTCTTCAGTTGGCCATATGACATGAAGGCAGAATAATGGACTCATGCGTTTTGGGACTGCAAGGCAGCCAACAAAACTGCATGTGAAGTAGCAGATACAAGCACTTACTGAATATGCACAAACTACTGCTGATCCACACTTTTGACACAGTAAACAAACAGTTGACCTACTTATGTAAATTACTTCTGAAACAGCTTAAAGCTGTTTCTACTATTCCAACACGATGACAGCAGTGGATCCAACAAGCAAGGTGACAGATACTTTGTTTGTCCTGCCCTTCTCACAGAAGTCTCCGGCCAAAAAGCTGAGCCACGCAATCAGTAAATCTCTAGGCTGCGTCCCCATCGGAGAGCCGCCGCATCCTGTGTTCCCCGAGCAGGCTGAGAGACCACAGGAACTCACCCATACTGTGTAAGTGCCATACCCAAAGCATTTGTTACCGCTCTTTGTGTCATTAATGAGGGAAACCCAACTGATTTGCTGATTAACAGCACAGCAGGGCCCAGTGTGCTCACGATCTATAGTCTGTTCTTGTCATGTAACTGCCTCCATCTTTCCCATTTCACTATCACTACATGACTGATAGAGTCCCAATCTCGCTAAAATGTCAAGCCCATGATTAACATGGAAATGGTGATATACTATATGGGTCAGCCGTTAACAGCACAGTCGTCCTCCTCAGTCTGTTGGCAATGAAACAGGGACGTTGGTATAAATCTCACACTCCAGGCTTTGAGGCTTCTGGAAATCATTACAGGAAATGCATTATATTCTGCTGCTGTCTTAAACCCCACACACTCATTTACATTTCAGTTGAAAAATAGTACGATTTCCATAATCAATTCCACCGCCGAGATACATCTGCAGTAGTCAACATCAGTATGGTCACTTCATATTTTTCTCATCATTGTTTCGCCGAGACTCTGACGCTTTTGGCCTCCATCAAGACAAAATCTAATAATGTTTCAGATTTAAAAAAAAGTGATTTATGATTTTGCTTGTTCATGGCATTAATAAGTTCACAGAATAAATCTCTCAACTTTCTAATTTGAGTTTTCAAACATATCTCATGGCACATTTCATAACAAAATCCTGCTTCATATTCCAGTCACGACCATAAACCTAAGCTGTCTCTATATGCTTTTGCTCCTGGCAAGTGTCAGTGAGTAATTGATAGTGAGCTACACGATGGGTGAAAAACTAGCTCAGTGAATGCCAAGGAAAATAGACACAACGTAAATGCATCAACATGATTTCCTGTTTTAGTGCCTGATAGAACCATCCTCTCTTAATCGGGCCTCACATCCAGGCTCTGCCCACTGGCAGGAGGATTTTTCTGCATTGTGCCCAAACTTATGCATTTAAGATGAAGTTTACATTTGCATAAATTTACAATTCATCACAACCTGAATTGTTTTCCTCCAGCTGAGAGATGAGGTGATTGGATTAGCCTGCGTGGTATAGGCTGTGTAGCATGAAATTACATCAAGTAGATTAATATTGATTAAAATAAAATTTGTGGCTAAACTACTTTGGATTATGTCTCTCCAGTGCCCTCAGCAAGCAGTAATCCATGTCGGTTTTTGGTTGTTGTTGGTTTTTTTTTTACGATTTTGATTATTTCAGATGATGGAAGCCCAGAGAATATTGAGTTCTGTCCATTTGGGGCTCTTGGTTATATTGGATTTTATTGCACAAAGGCCTTTTATTGTAATTCTTTTCCTCAGAATGATTTTTCCATGAACCAAAGGGTCCAGTTTGAAGTCTTTTAGTGACTCATTTATTCAAGAACTGTATGTCATTTTGAGTATTTCCATTTTATGCTACTTAATACTTATACTACCCTATATCTCTGAAGGAAATATTGTACTTTTTACTCCACTACATTCAGACATAGTTACTACCTTTCAGATTTTACAGTAAAAAAATATGTAATAATCTTATGACATACAATGTATTGCAAAAGCTAGTGTCTAGTTTGGGCATAGACATTTATCCTTTAAACTTCTCAAAAGGTTTCATTTGAATAACTTGTTGAAGCACAATCAGGTCAAATGATCCAATTTTGCAGAAAAAGAAAAGATTATACATAAGCAAAAAAAATCCTACAGATTTGTGTCACAGAATTTTGTTTTTCTTCTTTCCTGTCCCATTAATAGTCCCTCAAAGAGCCTGTATCCAGAAAGATCCAGTGGCATACAGGTTTATGGAAATGTATCCAGATCTGTATATAATATCGTATCATATCATATAAAAATAAAAATATAATATAATTGATATATCTTCTGGATAAGGACAGTATATGTCCCTTGTATACTATACTATTTTTCAGCTTTTATTCCAGCAACCCCCTTTGGTCACAACATAATTAAAATTAAATTAAAATTAAATTAAAAGTTTGTTAACTTTATACAAAGTAGTTAAAAATAGCTTTACCTCAACCAACTACAACTGTAAAATGCAGCTTACACAGTGATGCCCAAGCATTAACAATCTAGTACAGAAATATAATATTATTCCATGCACAGGTGATATTTATCTACAGAAAAAGTACTTTTACTTCAGATACTTGAATTTTTCTGTTAATTATTGTGGTGGAAGTTTGACCAAATAAAGGAAAACCAACAAAGAGAAATTTGTCTTTGTATATTTATTTAGCTTCTGCGCAGAAGGACCGAAACCAGCTAAGCGACAGTCAGCGACTGCCGAGGAATCGATGCTGTGTGCATCCTTACCAGGGTTTTTATATGCATGAGAACAAAGAGTCAATAATTACATTAAAGGAAAAGGATATACATCAAAGTGAGAAAAATGCATTTCCAAATGAAGACCCGCTCCTGTCTTAGACCAAATTAGATAGAAATTTGATGTACAGGCCAGTCTATATTTCAACTTTACATCACATAGATGTGGTCATTGTATTCATTTAGTTCATTTACAGTTCAGCAGACATGTGCATCATATAAATGTGGTCATTGTATTAAGAAAGTCAGTTCAAATGCAGTACAGCGGAAATGGAGCCAATCATACTTTCTACAGAACAGTGTAACACAAAGAATCACAGTTCATACAAAGGTTATTCACTAAATGCTAATTTTTCCCTCTACAATTCTAATATGCTTATAGGAAGAATTTTGAATTGTAGTTGTTGTAGGTACTTACTTGAGTAAATGGTCTGAATATTTATATATATTGATATGTATTAATATATATACAGTATATGTATATAATCTCTGTGAGATCTCTAAAATGGAAGTTTTGAGGTAGAAATTCCAGGAACTTCTTGTTATGTTCTCCTTTAAGAATTTAATGAACAAAGTGCATTCTCATGCTCTCGCAGATGGCATTTCAAGGTTGGTGGCACTATGGTGTGTGTGTATGTGTTCACTGACTTTTAGGATAATGGATGTGACTGTTGACCCCTGAGACTTGTTTGTATGTCTCTTCGTCTCTATTGTTAAGTTTGACGCAGGGAAGGTATTTACCAAAAGTCCCCGTCTTTGACGATGGAAAAAGGTCTATTTTTGGTTCAAGAAGCATTTATGTTTTTTATCTGTGTGTGGTGATCAAGTAGCAGCTCTCATCAACCGTGCCATGAAAAGATGTTTTTTTAAACCTGACAACCATTCAAAATATGTATTCATCAGTGACTGCTATTCTCAATTTTGGTTCAGATTTAATGCTTCCATATTTATAACTGTGCATGTCTTTGAACTGCAGAATATATTGTTGACAAATCATATCCAAAGAGATGCCAGAGAGTCTATTTTTTATAGACACAGGTCAAAATATCCAGATTTAATTTTTTATTAGTTAGGAATGTGACACATATTTTGAGATTATAACATTTA